TCTTTTGGCAGACAGAGACCCCTGAACAAAGTGGAGGGAGCCGGAGAAGCAGAAACCAAAGCCTCAATTGAAGCTGGGCAGATCTGAGCGAGGCCATGTCTTCGGCCCCATCCCTGATGAAATGTTCTAGAACAGGGGTCTCCAACCTTGGCAACTTGCTGGCTGAGGAACTCTGGGCGTTGAAGTCCACAAGTCTTAAAGTTGTCAAGGTTGGAGACCCCTGTTCTAGATTGTGTCCATGACCAAAGTTGTGTCAGAAGATGGGAGGAAACTCTTCTAAGTCTGTAACACCTAATATTCCCTTCCACTAAAAGTGTGTTTTGGGAAATGTAAGGAGTGAAAAAGAAAGAGTAATGATTAATAGTATGGCCGGTCTTAGTCATGGGTAGTGGTAGAAATAGTCGATATCATGGGGTTATTTGAGAAAAAAAATACTCTGTCTAAAAAGGAAAAGCAGGAGACAATCTGAGGCTGAATAACTACACTCAATCAAAAGCTGTCAGAAAAGCTATAAGAATAAAGCAGATGAATCATCCATACAGTGCCTGCCAGTTTCTAGTTTGCTGTAGACCACTGGTAATCAGCATGGTGATTAGGATAGCGCTAATTTGGTTTGCAGATACTAAGTGTTCTGATTCAGAATGGATGGCGCCTACAGTTGAAACTGCCCTTAGAATAGGGATGAGCAAACTTCTAGTGGCTGGTATCCAGGCTGAACACTTTGCAAAACCATATGATCAAGCAAGAGGTGGAAAGCAGTGTGCATCATGTACAAATGGGCAGGACAAAGTTTTTCTGTTTGGGGCCTGTGAGATTTACTTTCTTTTGAATAGTGCTAAACTTACCTTAGCCTATTTTACATGTTATGCTGCAGTATTTATTTCCTGTCTCAAAAAGATGAGAAACTGCTGAAAACCTTCAGCAAGGCAGATTTTACAAGAGAGGCAAAGAAGTGGTTATTCATCCATCTATTAAATACAGGGGAAACTTTTATCTGGAAAGCAACAAACCTAACAGGAGAACTAAACCAGGTACAACTTTATTTCACAGTGAGCTTCCAGTGAGCTATGGCTCATAATGCTAATGTGAATTGTAGTCACATTCAAACCAAGAGACCTGGCAGGAAATACTGTTCTTTTCCGCTAGTAAAGGCCATTTTTGAATGCTGTCTTTTCTGAGACATCCCATCCCAGAAAAGCAAAATTTGGAAGACAAATAGAGTGGACAGTCAGATTTCAGTGGAATGTAAAATAATGCCTTTATTTGTGACAGAATCTATTTTACCTTCACTAATCTAAAAACTACAGCAACATTGTAAGTCCTGGATATTATTTTGATGGGAGACCACAAGCAATGCCAGACTTCAGTATTATTACAAGAAAACAACCTACGTATGTCAAACTCAATTTGAGGGAGACTTCGTTCTTATCTGTTTGGCTTATATAACAGGATATTAAAAAGTAATGTGAATGTGAAGTTTTTTTTACAATGATTAACAATCTCTGTGTGCTGTCAGAAGCACATTGAAATCACTGTTGTAAGATGTAAGTAGATTGAACATCAATTTAGATATATTTCAGAATTCAAGTATTATAAAATATTTTTAATTTTTGTTGGCTTTGTGGGGAAAAATATAGACAAGACATGTCCATCATAGTTTATAGGATAAGTTTTGTATTTTCCCCCTTTATTCATTTAAATATTAAATATTGATTTTGACACTTCTCCTTTTACATCACTAGCATTTTCCAAAAAAACATTGAAGGTCACCAATGTTTATAGGGACTAGTGGTATTTCTCCCCCAGTTCACTACAACAGAAAGTCTCATTGTTATCAGCACATTGAGAATGTTTCCATATGCAGGATTAGTATAATCCTATATAGTTCTCAGCCTTTGTGACCACACAAATTTGCTTCCCTTTTTCTAGGCATCCAATTAACTTCCAGTTCCATCAGTGGTGAAATGTAAAATTTGTTACTACTGGTTCTGTGGGCGTGGCTTAGTGGGGGGGGGTAATGTGACTGGGTGGGCGTGGCCAACTTTTTTTTTTTTTTTTACTTTTAAAACCATCTTTTTACAACCTCTTCAGCCGAAGAGGTTATAGAAAAAATGCTTTTAAAAGCCTCTGACGATCCCAGCTGAGTCACACGATCATCAGAGGCTTTTTTTTTTTTTTTACTTTTAAACGCATCTTTCGGCCGAAGATGTTGTAGAAAAAATGCTTTTAAAAATAAAAAAAAGAGCCTCTGATGATTGTGCGGGTCAGCTGGGCATGGGGTGGAGGGCAGGGATTTTTGCTACCGGTTCTCCGAATCACCCGCCGCCATCGCTACTAGATTGGGTGATCCGGTCCGAACCGGGAGCATTTCACCCCTGAGTTCCATCATGGCACAAAGTGAATGGCAATGAATGCATTTGAGCAATTGAAGGGAGAAACCATGGGGGTGGGCCATCTGGGAACTCCCAATGGTCCGTTACTATTCTCCACCTACCTTATAGAGGCAGGATGCTGGTTGTTGGCCATTGCCATTTCTTGAGCAGTAGTGATGAATACAATCAGTAAGGATGAGGACAATTGTTTTGACAATGTATCTGAGGGCCTAGCAGCTATGTGGAACTTCCCAGAATGAGGACAAGGGTGGGGCACTGAATATTTCCTTGGCAAATGTAATTAGTGATGAAGCAGAATTTCTCATGCTACAGCAAGGGCCTTCCAAAGCCTCCCTCATTCTCTTTAGAAAGAATGATCAAGACCAGGCAAGAGCTACTCTATACCTAACATCCATTTGGAACTAACAATATCCTTTAAACTCCTTTTGTTAAGACACCACCCCTGCCCCGTTCAAAATTACAAAAGGATAGTGATACAGATTCGTATAGAATTTATATAAAAGGCAAGGAAATCTCTGGGTTGCGTGGGAGGGAGAATGGGTGGGCGCTGTCCCTGGTGGACAGAAGAACAGTGGAAGCAGTGAAGTAAGATGGAATCAGTGAGGCTGGGCTGGGCTTGGGTGTGGCATACCCTGAAAAATGTCACGGGATAGTCTTTAATGAAGCGCGAGTGGCTGGGGCGGGCTGCGTACTTCGTAGGTGAATCACCCAAGTGGGAGGCATTGGCATGAGTAATGCGCTAGATTTTTATGGCAGCTTTACAGGCATAACCATATTTCTATCCTTGGTCTGGAAATAAAGATATATTGTAGATATTTCTGTCTCCAGCAGAGGAAAACGGAAACACCAAACAAGCTAAACGAAGAATAATTTTTGTGGCATTCCTAACAATGCAGGAATGTGCCTTGGTCTTCCATATAATGTTTCATATTACTTAGAGCTTTTTGGCTGTGTTTATCTTTTCTATTAGCATCCAAAATTTTACTCTCAAAATGCTAAGTTTTATTTTTTTAGAATTACATCATTTATGGTGTGCTAATAAACTTAGGAAATAGGGTTTCTCTTTTGGGCTAAGAGTATTATTTCAGCCAAATAGTTAAATATTTGACAGAAAAACTGTAGTTTAAGGCAGCTGCCCCCAACCTTTTGGGACTCAGGGGCTCTTCCGTGGAGAGCGGGTTTTTTGCGGATGGAGTATGTGTGTTTTGTGTGTGTGTGTGTGTGTGTGTGTGTGTGTGTGTGTGATGGTTTCTCACACTGCAGGCATCCTGCACACGTGTGGATGGGACTTCTGTGGCTTGTGTGGCCTGGTTCCTGCTGGGCCGTGGACTGGTGCTGGTCCTTGGCCCTGGGATTGGGGTTGGGGTTGGGGACCCATGGTTTATGATGAATGTATTTCAAAAATTCATTATCTATAAAACATACAATGTTTAATGTACATTAATGAACACAAATCACTAACACACAATCTCTGACTAGTCTATTGTATCCTGTCAAGTATTAGATCACTTAAAATTAGTATGCCTTGCTGAAAATAAACCTTTGCCTCAGCTTTGAACATTCACTGGGAATTCAGATGGGATCCCTAAGGAGACATTGTTCTCCTTAACAATAAGAGGGCCAATTTGGTATAATGGCTAAGGCACCAGGCTAGAAACCGGGAGAGTATGAATTCTAATTCTGCTTTAGGCATGCAACCAGCTAGGTGGTTTTATGCCAGTCTCTCTCTGTATACCCCATGAATGAGGCCATGGCAAACCATTTCCAAAAAAGTGTTGCCAAGAAAACTGCAGGGACTAGTCCAGGAAATTGCCAGGAGTCAAAATTGACATACATGTTTCCAGAGAGACCTGGAAAACTCCAGAATCTACTAGCACTATATGGGCAAGGAAACAAGAATAGGAGTTTCCAAAAGAGAAAAAGGAAAAAAAAACATTATGTAAGAATCTTTTCATCCTAGAACAATCTTGGTAACCTTTAGGCTACGCTGGATTGGACTTGAGGTGAATCCAAGTAACATGTTTTATAATGAAAACACCTCTCTTGGTTTCAGGCAAATAGTACTAGGGATTTTTCTTCTCCCGTCCCTACTGAAACCTACACATGCAGGCACACATCTTCTAAAGTTGCTATTTGCATCTGGGGAAGTCTTAATTGGCCTTGATTGCTTTTAATTGTTGCTATGGGAAACCTTTCCTGTGGGAAAAAAAAAACAGAAAAAATTCTGCTGACATGTCAGATTAGTACAAGAATACATGCAGCCATTTTGCTTGTTTGAAAGAAGGATGGGACAAATAGGGTTGATGGCATTGCTTGACAAAAGGGTTTTCTGGTGAACTCTTCCCCCAGCATCAGAATATCCTGAATCACTCCAAGCTAAAAGAGCTATCTGTTCCCAGGGTCTGAGCCATGCATGTAGATTTGATTTGTGCAATGGGTTTGGGGGAAATATATTCAATGGGAGTGAACAAGACAAGTCCTTTTCTCCTATGGTTTCTCTAGGGAGTGGTGGGGTGTGGAGGAAGGAGGGATGGGGAATGTAGGCTTTGCTCCCCCGGTCACAGTGCTCCCTTTGCCCACAGCTCCTTACAAGTGTGCTCCCTGCAGGAGATTCGTGGGGGATCCTTGCCTTCCTGTGTGCCACGCTTTGGAACCTGCCTGGGGTGCCTGCACTGAACCGCACGGACCAAGTGACCACCAGACAGTCCATCCAGCAGATGTACGACCTTACTCGCTATCTGGAACACCAGCTGCACGCGCTTGCGGCCACTTATGTGAGTGTAGATGCTTTGGGAGAATGGAAGCAGCAGCTGAGCTGAGCAACGGCCTAGAAATTCTTTTCTTGCTTCTTTCCCCTTTCCTCGAACCATCTCCATTTTTTTCCTGCCCAACTGGCCTCCTTGGAAAATTCTGCCTCTGTGTTTCTCTCCATTTGGATATCTCTGCAGCAAAGGAAGGCCAGGTTTCTCTCTGTGTATTCTGGCATGTGGGTTTAATGCACCTCATGGAGGATTCCTCTTGTCACCTTTCCATAGGACTAAGGCAGTTAGTCCTTTTTTTTTTTTTTTTTTCATTCTGGAAATTAAAATGATGCAAGAAGTGGTAGGGAAAGATATAAGTGCTGTAAACAGAAAACAGTGTCATTTGGAGCTTCATAAAACTGGTGCATATGAAGGGAAAGATTATATAAGCAGATATTGAATCCTGAAAGCCCATTGCAAGAGAAGGATGTTAAAAGGCAACAGACTGATTCGTCACATTATTTGAAAAGGGATTTAGGGATATGGAAATTTTGTGCCTGTGACACTTTGTGCCAGCACCTAAAATTTCCTCCTACCTGGTGAATAGCTGAAATACTGTTCTCTCTCCACAGCTATGGCTCTCACTTGGCAGAATATCTGACATCTTTTCTCCTCCCTGCCTTCAGGCACCGGTGGAGTCTCCCTGTTTACAATCTGTTGTGGATCTCCCGCTGGGGTGAGGTGAGGCCTCGTCTGTCAGAACTTGCCAGGGAAACGCCCGACTGTGCAGAAAGTGGGGGTAGCCCCTCATCAGCTTACATGGCATCCCTGCTCTCTGGCCTACCTGGCATTTCAGGCCCTACCCTTTGGCAGCTTTCCCTGACACTGAGCATCAAATGCTATCAAATCAGGAATTTGCTTGGTTTGGACCATGGAAAATGCAGGAGCCATGTTTTCTAGTATATCAACATTCCAGAAATATTTTTTTAAGGAGGCGGATCAAGAAGGTCAGATTTTCACAGTCTAGAAAACTAAAGAATTGTGCCATTATACATCAGCTAGTGTCCATTCACTGAGTTTGCATGATGTGCACATTTAATGAGAACTTCTGTCCCAGAAATGAACAGATATATATATATATATTAATTTGATTTATATGCCGCCCTTCTCCGGAGACTCAGGGCGGCTTACAATGCGTTAAGCAATAGCCTTCATACTTTTGTATATTTATACAAAGTCAGCTTATTGCCACCACAAACTGGGTCCTCAATTTACCTACTTTAGAAAGGATGGAAGGCTGAGTCAACCTTGAGCCTGGTGAGATTTGAACTTAATTGCAGACAGCTGGATGTTAATTACAATGCATTAGTCTGCTGAGCTATCCAGCTTATTATTTTCGTAATAATAAGCTGGAAGAGGCTGATCAACAAAGCAATTTAGCCTAAAGCCAACTCTCTGCACATATTCAGCTTGTGCTGGTTTCCAACACACACACACACACACACACATATATATATGCAGAGGTAAAGATAAAGATAGATAGCTGATAGATAGATAGGTAGGTAGGTAGGTAGGTAGGTTAGGTAGGTAGATAGATAGATAGATAGATAGATAGATAGATAGATAGATAGATAGATAGCGCACGAGAGATGTCAAAATGATGATCATGATCTTTTCCTCTTTCTCTGTCAGTGTAGGGATTGAAAAACTACATTCTGGGATGATATGTGCCATTTGTTGATAAAACTGTCCCTAATTAAATATTGATACTATAATACTTATCAAATTACAGTTATTTATCATTATAGCAACTAGAAGGAAGAAAGATACCATACATTGGATTAGTATTTGTATACTGATCCTATATTATAGGCATACTGATGATCAGTATTGGAATTTACTTTGCCAATCCCAGTTAATGGTGCATTCCCATGTTCACATGGAACACAGAAGATTTGAATGTCTTCAAAATATATAGCTGTGTATACAGAGATACACAATTTTCCAAATTCACATGAAAACAGGTATGAAACCTGTTACATTAGATTCACAGAAAGCCAGGTTTCAGTTAACACTTATTTCCAGTGAGTGAAATTATATAAATAAAGATATGGTAATAACAGTTGGTCTCTCAAACTTGTTTTCTATTTATATATATATATATTTTTAAAAATGTATTAGCTAAATTTGTATGGCCTGTCATGCCACAGAAAGTGACTCTGGGTAGCATACAATAATCTGTATAAACTTGTAAATAAATAATAATTATATAATAATTATTAAAATAATTAAAACTTATAAAAGCAAAACTAAAATAGGAAAAGAGAATAATAGATGGAAGAATGTTAATAATAAGGGACCCACCTCATTAGTTCATCTTGAGGGACCTTCAGAAGTTGAGAAGTGATGAAATCCACAATATGGGTGCTACAGCAAAAAAAAGACCCACCGTCTAGGGCCTGCCAAATGTGGGTCTCAAGATATTAGAACCTGTAACATACTTATTTTATGAGATCTAATGGGACTGGTAAATGAAATTGGAGAAAGGTATTCCCTCAAATAAGCCAGTCCCATGCCGTTAGAGTATTAAAGGTCAATATCATAATGGACTATCTCCCATCCATCGTAATTGTCAAGAAATCAGATCATGATCCAGGCCTCTAGAAATAACCTAGGACAAACAGATTAAGATTTTAGTAAAGCAAACTAAAAATTGTTTCCTGCAACCTGGTAATTTCCAAACCTTTGGGACTGTGATTCTAAGCATCAGACACATAAGTGAATCGATGGCAATATAAACATAATAATAAATAAATATCCCCTCATAACTCATCTAGGGGCTAATGGGACTTACATTCAAACCATCTGGAAAGTGTCAGGTTGGGAAAGGATGTTTAATAAGAAACCAACCTGAAAATGAAACAGGAGAGGTAAGGGTAAATGAAATGAAGATAAGGAAAGGCACTGTAGCAATATGAAGGAGATTGCTGAGGCCAATAAGTGTAGCAACTGGGAAATCCGATCCTATAGAAAGGCTATATTGCTCATTGGAAAAACCTAGCACTATTTTTCCTGAGCTTTCCTGTGGAAATGGGGAACACGAGCCAATGCTTACAGCCCATCTACTGAAATGACCTGAACTTGACTTGTGCTAGTACTACCATTCCTCTCATTATGAAAGAAAGAAATTACTGAGAGAGAAAATTCAGGAGATTAACACAAGTGAGGAGGAATTCGGAGAGTGGCGAAGAGATGAGCCTGATGGTCAAGGAAGTTGGGTTGCTGCCTTAGGGTGGGGGGGGGGGGGTAGGGGGAACCGCCCACAGGCGATCTTAAGTAGGTCAGCATTTACAACGCTTAATGGTTGGCAACCAAACAGAAGGGGAAAACAAAGCAAAACAACACAAAGATAGCTAGGCAAAGTGCCCCATGGTCACCAGAGCTTTGCTCTGAACCTGTCAGGGAAGGAAAACAATTGGGCAGGCCATCCCGCTGGCAGCTTTTGGAGGGATGTTACACACTTTTTCCTAAGTGATTTCCGTAGAAGCAAAACTACTTCCAAAGGCTGCCATAGAAGGTATGGATAGAGAAAGCTTATCAGGCAGCCAGAAGAAATGCAAGGATGTTGACTGGTAACACAAGAATCTTTACTGCATAAGCCTTTTAGAGGCTGTGAAAGTGTTGTTTAAGTGCACCAGATCTCTACTATGGCTTTTCCTTGGTCTTCTGGACTTGTGGGATACGCAAGGAATGGAGTCCGTGGTAAGCATGGGCTTCATTAAGTGTTAAAAGGTAACTGCCTTTCCCTGAGACTTGCTGAAGAAAATTTTTGTCTAGCTAGTTCTCTTTGCAACATCCTTCCAAACACTAAATACTAAATGAGGACTACCTGAATAGCTATCAAAACTAGTGGCCACTGTTTGGCTGATCCTCCAAAACCTATCCAGATCCCTTCTACATGAAATTAGGTCTAATTGCATCTATGCACAGATGTTTTCTTCAGTGTTCTAGATAGAGTTTGGATCCTCCCCATTAAATAAATCCCAAATAAATGATGAAATGTAAAGCAGAGTTTTAATTTTTAAGATTCATACACATTTTCAATCTGAGCATTTTTGTGTGTTCGCAACACACCTTTCTCCCTCTGCCTGAGCCCACAGCCTTGCAGGGAATGAGACAAAAGTTGAGATCAGTGAATGAGGTTAATAGTAGTTGGCTCATTGTCCACTTGTGAAAACTGAAATTATTAGGAAAAGGAAAGCCCCTGACAGATACAGGTTTATATCACTTCATATCTTAAACAAACAATGTATCTTCCAAAAACCTTCCAAGTGCACCATGTTCTCTTCTTTATTCTTTCCCCCCCATGAAGCCCCTATTCTTAAATATAACAGAATTCCTCTTTCTCCTTTCCCTCTTTTCTCCTGCTGGTCTCATGGTGATGGCCACGTCCCAGCCTGCCTGTTAGCTGATCTCTGCTACTGCTATAAAATTGTTTGGGGAGCCTCTACTTGCCCTCGGGCAACAGAGAGGAAATTAATTTGTCTTCTGAGCTTGTCAGGTTCTTCACACAGCCGCAGGGTTTGACACACCTCCCTTCCGCTTGGTGCTTCACCCACCCCACTGCCTGGGCAATCCTGCTGCCTGCGGGACACCACTGTTGGCAGGGGGTGGGGAATCCCAGGAACGCAGCCCAGCAGGGCGGGCAGGCAGGCAGGTGTGAATAAAGCCAGCATGTGCCTGTGTTTGTAGCAGAATGATCAGCCGGGAAGCAAGGATCTTTCAATGATAGAAACTTACTAACTGCAATAGCAGCATAGAAGTGCAAGAAGTGCAACAGATAACAGCGAGGTCTTTGCAAGTCAGTGGACATAGGGACACTTTGCCCAAGCCCAGGGATGGATTGGTCAGCAGGCATAATTGGGCAACAGCGTACAGAAATATGTCCTCTTCCATGTAGCACTGTGTACAGGTAGTTCTTGACGTATAATCATAAACTGTAGCAAAAAGATTATAAAATTGTGCATAAATCACTTAACAATTGTCATGCTTAGCCACAGAAATTCTGGTCCCAATTGTGGTTATCAGGGCTACTTGTACTGCAATTGATCTTTCCCACAACCAAGCTAAGGTCTTATCCGTCCTTCCATCAGCAGAAACTCTACCAGTTGCTCCCACCGCTGTTCTATATTCTGTTTCTCTTATCTATATTCCTGGGCACTACCAAGTCACCTGTTTTCCTTCCAACTCGTGGGTGACAAGACATGACAGCTTTTGCACAGCTTAAGGCTGTTGGAATAAGCAGGACCATTTTAACACAAGAACAGCTTAAAAAATGGCAGCTTTTCCACTGGTGGACTGGAGATCAATGAAGCAACATCAGGGATGGGGGTGGGGGAAAGGAATTAACAACCGAAAAAGAGATTGTTTGTTTTATAGTTAAGTGCAAGTGGACTCATGTCCTGTGATCCCATAAACTTACATCTCCTTGTCTTGCCTGTAAGAGAGAGAGAGAGAGAGAGGACGGAGGCATTCATAGAGGCGGTGGGTGGAAAGCACTGGGAAAGTAGGTATTCCTGTTCAAGTGAGTTTAACACTTTCTTGTCTTTTCTCCTCAGCTCAACTACCTGGGGCCACCTTTCAATGAGCCGGACTTTGACCCTCCCCGGATAATTGGGGTAGAAGCTGTGCCAAGTGCCACTGTAGACATTCAGGAATGGCACAGTTTGAATGACAATGCCCGGCTAGCAGCTAATTACCAGGCCTACAGCCACCTGCTCTGCTATCTGAGGACCATGGATGGCACGGCTCCAACTGCAGTGCCAAGTCTGCACCACAGCCTCGCCCACTTCCGGGCTAGCCTGCAAGGGCTGCTGGGCTCGATCGCAGGCATCATGGCTTCCCTGGGTTATTCACTCCCAACTACAGGGCCCCCTCTAGAGATTACCCCACCCAGCCACTTCCTGCGCAAGATGGACGACTTCTGGCTGCTCAAAGAGCTACAGACCTGGCTGTGGCGCTCAGCCAAAGACTTCAACCGACTGCGCAAAAGGGTGCCTCCTTCCGCTGTTATGCTGCATCTGGAAACCAGAGGCTTTTGATTCCTGCCGTCGCCATTGTCTCTGCCTTCACCTCATTCACTGACATCATTCAGACCTGCCACTCAAGGACTAGCACTTCTGAAAGACTCCAAATCCAATGCCTTCTCCCAGCCCCTTCTCAAAATTGCCCTCTTCCTCTTCCTTGTCCCTTGCTTTTTTGGTGCTGCATTGCTCTCTGCTACTAAGCTGTGCCTCTGGGTGAACAGATACACATCTATACAACCTGTTTCTTTGCATCTCTTCCTTCTCCACCTTGTGTAAAATTAATATCTCCTCCTCCTCCCTCTCCCTCCCTCCCTCTCTTTCTCTCTTCCTCTTCTAGAGGGGCCATTCATTTTCCAGAAGGAGAGGAAGAGTGTTTCCCTTCCCATCTCTAGGATGAACAATTAAGCCCTAGCTGCAGGGCAGCCAACAGCTGCAGCCTCCACCGCTGATGCTCCTGTTGCCTTAAACTTCACTCCCTCCGTAGCTGGATTTCTCTGTATTCTCCCCATTCTGTTTAAGGGGCTGTGCCAATTAGAAGCTTATCAAGGACATTCTATGATCAGGCACTTACATGGGAAGCATCTCTCCAGTCAGATTGTAAAATATGCCCAAACTGAAAACAGAGATGAGATACTCAGTTTAGCACAAACACGTGTAGGTTTTCAGCTTTCTTTCCCCTCCCTGGTTAGGTAAGATCATTCATTCAATGGTTTTTTCATTCATTCATTCATTCATTCATTCATTCATTCATTCATCCATCATATGTGCAGGCCTACCCTTAGTAGGATAATTGTCTAAGCCAGCTGTAGTGGCCACCGCTTGTCTACACCGTTCACTCCATAAAACAGGATGGATGAAGCTCTGCGGTTTTACACTGTCACCAGCAAAGGAGAAATTTCCCACATGTGGCCCCATCCACCATTCTTTCTCTCCATCTTTGCCCACCCCTCCCTCCCTCCTGTCAGGTTGTTATTCTAAGTTTGTTTATATTAATATTTATTTATTTTCAGATGTTATTTATTAGATTGTATTTATTGCAGAATTTCTATTCTTGTATTAATAAATAAAATGCTTTCTCCAGGAGTGGCATTGGTTTTATTTTCTCTCAACCCAGCATGCTCTGGACTAGTCACTGTCACATTTAGTCTCAAACCTATAATTTGTGTGTATGTGGGTGCTGTATGAAAATGGGGTAATTATGTTGTTTCCTTGCACTAGAGGTTTACAATATTTTTATAATGATTTAAGTTTTTATCAACTAAAACCTAAACCAGCCTTATCCATCCTGATGTTTTCAAAATATTTTGGAGCTATAACTCTAGAATTAAAATATATAAACCCACAATAGTATAAATCAGGCCAAGCTCCAACTTAATCTGGCATTTTGTTTCTCACACAACTGCTTGAGCAGGGCGTTGCACTAGAATACCCCTAAGGCCCCTTCCAACTCTGTCATCCCTCTCTTGCCATGGTTTCTGTAAGTGGTACGTGAAGCAATCTGCCTCCAGTCTGAAGATAGCCAAGAATCTCAAGGCTAATAACTGTCAATAGACCTGACTGCCATGATTTTTTCCAATTCTTTTTTAAAAACTCTCCAAGGTGGGAGCTCTCAACGTACTTTATAGTAATGAATTCCATAGTTCATGAACAGTGTGAAGAAGTGCTTAGTTTTGTCTATAACTTCTTTTCATTCAGCTTTATTAGATGACCCATGTTCCCAAGGTTTTGAGAGAGGGAGAATAATGTTTCCATGTCTATTTTCTCCATATAATGCATTGTTTTCTATATCTCAGTTCTTTCTCTCTTCTTCTTCTTCTTCTTCTTCTTCTTCTTCTTCTTCTTCTTCTTCTTCTTCTTCTTCTTCTTCTTCTTCTTCTTCTTCTTCTTCTTCTTCTTCTTCTTCTTCTCCTCCTCCTCCTCCTCCTCCTCCTCCTCCTCCTCCTCCTCCTCCTCCTCCTCCTTCCTGTTCTAGCACTTTTCCCCATCTCCTTGATTGCCCTTGCATCTTTTCTCCAATGTTGTAAGAACTGAATGCAGTAGTCCAGGTGTGGACATACCATAGATTTTTTTTTTATTGCAAAAGTTTTACAATTACATTTTCACCCCTTTTTTTTCACCCCCCCACCTCCCTCCCCAAACTTCCCGTCCTCCCTAGCCCTCCCTAACCCTCCCCCCCAGACTTCCCTATTATATACTCATAACTAATAATACTGATATATATACCTGAACCCATCCCTCCCCCTATATAATTTTCCCTCTTTATCTCTTTACATTAAAATATTTCTAATACATTGTTTTCAAATAAAAGCTATTTGGTACTTTCTAGTTTGGTATTTGTTCTGAACATATTCTATCCACCTTTTCCATTCCCATTCATAAGTCTCTTGTGAGCAATCTTTTAAATATGCTGAAATCTTCGCCATCTCTGCAAAACTGGCCATCTTCAAAGTCCATTCCTCGATAGTAGGCAAAGCTTCATTCTTCCAATATTTACCTATCAACAATCTTGCTGCTGTTATCATATACAATATTAATTTTATTTCACCCCGTGTAAAACCCTTAACTATACCCAATAAAAACAATTGTGGAGAAAATTGAATTTTTTTCTTCAAAACATTCTGCATGACCCACCATATTTTTATCCAAAAAGCCTTAACTTTCCTACAGGTCCACCAAACATGATAATACGTAGCATCCAAACATTCACATCTCCAACATTTTGGCTGAACATTAGGGTACATACATGACAACTTTTTAGGATCTAGATGCCATCTATAAAACGTTTTATAAAAATTTTCCCTCAAATTCTGCGACTGTGTAAATTTAACATTCTGAACCCAAATTTTTTCCCATGTTTCCAACATCACTGGTTCTTCAAAATTTTGTGCCCACTTAATCATACAATCTTTAACTAATTCCGTTTCTGAATCCCTTTCTAGCAAAACATTGTAAAGCCTTTTAATATGCATTGGACCTTTCTCTCTTATATGTCTAACCAATTCTTCCTCATGCAACATAATACCAGTTTTTTGGTCCTCTTTCCATCTCAATTGTAATTGATTATATTGTAACCAGGTTAAATTAATCCCTTCGTCCAACAGTGTCTGCAATGTCTTCAACTGCCATCTGCCCGCATCTGTAAAAAGAACCTCTTTGTATAAAAACCCCCCGAGTGACATTATATTTGTATTCCATAAGGTATGACCAAGATCCAGCCATAGCGGTATTTTATAATCCCATTTGAGTCGGTGCTTCTTCCAAACTCTCATCAAAGAGTCTCTAAGTATATGACTTTTAAATACTTTATCAACTTTATCATCATAAAATAGGTAAGCATGCCATCCAAATTCAAGATCAAAACTTTCTGCATTCAATATTCCAGCCTTTTTACTTCCAAACCAATCACTTGTTAAAGTTAAAGCTGCTGCATCATAATATAACTGTAGGTTTGGAAGTTTAAGGCCTCCTCTTTCTGGAACATCTTGCATAATTTTCAATTTCACTCTCGGCTTTTTCTCGTTCCAGACAAACTTATTAAGTCCAGTTTGCCAAACTTTCAGTTGTTTATCACTTTTAAGCACCGGAATCATTTGAAACAAAAACAGAAATCTTGGCAAAATGTTCATCTTAACTGCTGCTATTCTTCCAAGTAAAGACAGTTGCAGCTTTTTCCAAGTCTCCATGTCTTTCTGAACCTCTCGCCACAACACCTCATAGTTATTTTGAAACAATTTCATGTTTGATTCTGCAACCTGAACTCCAAGATATTTTACCTTAGGTACAATTTCAAAACCTGCCCTCCTTTCAAACTCATGTTTACGATCTTGTGTCATATTTTTGACTATCATTTTAGTCTTTTTTGAGTTCACTCTAAAACCTGAAACTCTACCATAGTCTTGTATAATGTCGTTCATCAAGATTATTGATTCCATTGGTTGTGATAGGGTAACCACCAGATCATCTGCAAATGCCTTTATTCTATAATCCTCTTGCCTTATCATTATGCCTTTCAAAATTTTTGAGTCCCGTATTATATTTAGCAAGACTTCCAATGTTAAAATAAATAAAAGTGGGGACAACGGACATCCCTGTCTTGTTCCTTTTTCAATTTTAAACTCTGTCGTCAAACTTCCATTAATAATAATCTGTGCTTTTTGCTCTTGATAAATTGCTGAGATCGCCTGTATAAATTGGTCCCCAAAGCCCATCTTTTTTAAAGTCTTTAGTAGAAAATTCCAATCCACTCTATCAAAGGCCTTCTCCGCATCCAAAAAAACCAGCACTGCAGAAATCTGTTTATTCTTATCAAGATATTCCAATAAGTCTATTACTTGCCTTACATTGTCCTTCATATATCTGCCCTCAATAAATCCCGCTTGGTCCGCATGAATCACCTTTTGGATTACTGGCATCAACCTGTTGGCTAATACCTTCGCATAAATTTTATAGTCTGTGTTCAAAAGAGATATTGGTCTGTAGTTCTCTGGTTTTTTAGGACCAACTTGTTCTTTTGGTATCAAAGATATATAAGCAGTTGTCCAGGATGGGGGTATTTTACCCCCTTGTTGAATATTGCAAAATAAATCTCTAAGTTGTCCCACCATTTCAGCTTGTAAAGTTTTGTAATACACTGCAGTCAAACCATCCGTGCCAGGAGCTTTGGCTGTTTTTAGCTGTTTAATTGCTGCTGTTATCTCCTCCTCTGTTATAGGATAATTCATTCTTTCCTTTTGTTGATCAGTAATTTTTGTAACTCTCTTATCCTTTAAATATTTTTCTATAAGTCCATTCTGCACCTCTTCTTTGGCATATAGTTTAGTATAATAATCCACAAAAGCTTCTTTAATTAGTTTTTGTTGAAAGATTTCTTTCCCTCCAATATCAATACTATCAATAGTCCGTATACTTTGTTTTTTCCTCAATGTGTAAGCCAACCATCTGCCCGGTTTGTTAGCGTTGCAAAATGTATTATGCTTCGCATATTGTAAACTTGTTGCAACTTGTTCCGCCATAAGCATTTGAAATTGGTCTTTCAAAAGTTTTATAGCACTTCGTATTCTTTCATCTGTTGGATTTTTAATAAGTAACTGTTCTTTATTCTTTATTTCCATTTCCAACTCAGATCTTTTCTTTTGTCGGAGCAGTCTATGTTTAGAGTTCATGTAGATGAGTACCCCTCTCATATAAGCTTTACTTGCATCCCAAACAATTTCAATTGGGGTACCTTTATTCAAATTTATTTCAAAAAATTCTTTCAAGTGCTTTTTAAGTTCTATTGTATTTTTTTCATATCTAAACAAGTTCTCATTTAATCTCCAAGAACGTCTCTCAACCTTATCCATCTCAATTTCTATCCATACAGGGCTATGGTCAGTCAGAGTTCTTGGAAAAATCTTTGTTCTTTTTGTCTTAACAAGTAGATCATTTGACAACAGGATAAAATCAATCCTAGAAAAAGATCTATGTCTATCCGAAAAAAAAGTATAGTCCAATTCATTTGGATTATGTATTCTCCAAACATCTTTTAATTCCATATCTTCTTTCATATCAAAAAAAGTCTGTGGTAATCTAATTCTAGACTTTGCCAAGCTCTTTTTATCTAGTTTAGAATCAATTACTCCATTCCAGTCTCCCATAATTAAAATAGATCTATAGTCCCATTGCAATATTTTAGTATGTAACATCTTGTAAAAATAATCCTGTTGTTGGTTGGGAGCATAAATTCCAATCAAAAGAATTTGACCATTTGCTGTGAGCAATTCAATTGCTACAAACCTACCATCTTGATCTGCTTCTATAACTTTCGCTGTTAATTTTTTATTTACATAAATAACCACACCATTCTTTTTCTGCGAAGTTGAAGATATATAATGTGCTCCTAGTTTTGAATTTATCAAATATTTTTGATCTTGAGTTGTGATATGCGTTTCTTGTAAACATATTATATCATTATTAAATTGTTTCAAATATGTAAATAATTTCTTCCTTTTCTGTGCTGAATTCAACCCATTGACATTCCAAGATAGACACTTAAAGGTCATCAGCCTCTTTCTGGAGCACAGAGCAAAATATTTGA